GCCTGGCACAAGCATCGTGGTGATGTCACCGCCACTTAGTGGCGAATGGCGGTTGTTGTGTGGGGGGGGGAGCGGTGGGTGTAGTGGTTAGCACTATGCTGCGCTACGAACCCGGCCGACCCGGGTTTGATTTCCGCTCACGGCCAACATCAGTGACGATGATCTGAACTGGTCCCAGGCCTCCCCTAGGTCGACTCAGCCTCATATGAGTACCTGGTGCGGTGTGTAAACATCGCCACTGGGGAGACAAAGGCGGTCGGGCGTGGTGCTGGCCACCCACCCCCTCGTGTGCCGTGCCGGCCTTCATAGGTGCTCGCTAACAGCACTTGCCCCTACAGTCTGTTAAGGCTACACGGGGGGAGCTTTATCTTTGGGGGGGAGTGGTAACGTAGTCAGTGTTAATTGGCGGTGTAACTGAGGGACTGTGTGTTGTTGTCTGGATTTCTGCCGTCGTTTTGTGCTTCTGCGGCCGTCTGGAACGCTCTTCCCGTCCGATATTAGGAAGCCACGGGAGCTGCGTGCTTTTAGTTCCTCATCGAGATTGACAAACTCATTTTGTTTACAGAACCGGTGGTTGTTGTGGTTCAGTTTGTTGTCCTTCGATGAGCATGGTTCTGGCCACGTGCGGTGCGAAAGAAGTTGAACGTTAATTCTAGATTTGAAGCTTTCGTGACTGCAAGGATTCATATTCTTGGGTTTTTTTCGGTAAAGTCACGTAGGTAAAAAATTAAAATTAATAAAAGTCAAATTATAAATAAAATATAAATCACGACGTTTCGGAGGCAACACAAGCTTCCGTCTTCAGGTGGAACCGTCACAGCACGATAGCTGTAAAGAGAAATTCCAAGAAAACAGTTGAACTCGGAGGTTCCAAGAGTTGTTAAGGTGCGGCTGATGTAAAGGTGTGTGTAAATGGGACTGAGCCTTTTGTTATGTAGAGGTGGTGCGGCTGAAACCGCTGCCAGGAATGAGCCTTTGTTGTGTAGACTCGTTGAACTCGGAGGTTCCAAGAGTTGTTAAGGTGCGGCTGATGTAAAGGTGCATGTAAATGGGACTGAGCCTTTTGTTATGTAGAGGTGGTGCGGCTGAAACCGCTGCCAGGAATGAGCCTTTGTTGTGTAGAATGGTTGAACTCGGAGGTTCCAAGAGTTGGTAAGGTGCGGCTGATGTAAGGTGCGTGCAAATGGGACTGAGCCTTTTGTTATGTAGAGGTGGTGCGGCTGAAACCGCTGCCAGGAATGAGCCTTTGTTGTGTAGACTCGTTGAACTCGGAGGTTCCAAGAGTTGTTAAGGTGCGGCTGATGTAAAGTTGCGTGTAAATGGGATTGAGCCTTTTGTTATGTAGAGGTGGTGCGGCTGAAACCGCTGCTAGGAATGAGCCTTTGTTGTGTAGACTCGTTGAACTCGGAGGTTCCAAGAGTTGTTAAGGTGCGGCTGATGTAAAGTTGCGTGCAAATGGGACTGAGCCTTTTGTTATGTAGAGGTGGTGCGGCTGAAACCGCTGTTAGGAATGAGCCTTTGTTGTGTAGAATGGTTGAACTCGGAGGTTCCAAGAGTTGTTAAGGTGCGGCTGATGTAAAGGTGCGTTCACACCTGCGCCGCCCCAAGCTTGCCTTTTGGTGTCGACAAATCGGCAGGAATCCACGTGTACCTGTGCAAATTAGCGGCGACGTGTTTTTCTTTAATTACCGCAGTGACTTGCAAGACCACCCCCCCTCCCACACCCTCCTTTCTCTGTTCTGCGCTCTCCCGTCGTTCGGTTTGTACTGCTTCTTCTTGTTGTTGAGTTGCTGACTCCGCCCCCCCCCCCTCCCCAGCTTGGTAGTTCATCGTATTAATCCTTTCCTCCTCCTCCTCCTGTCTAAACACGGATTCTGGTTCTGCGTAGTGGTCAGGGCTCCGCCACGCCACGAACCCGACAAGAGACGCCCCCCGAGTTCGATTCCCGCTCGCGGCCACCGCCGTTGCCACGATAATCATCTGAACCCGTTCCTGGGCCTCCCCATTGGTCGACTCGGGCCACAAATGGTCACCGGGTTGCAGTGAAACATCGCCAACTTGGTGCAGACAAAGGCGGCAACCCTCGCACTTGGCGTGCCGCGGTGTCGGCCATCGTGGGCTCTTATCTCGAGCGGCACTTTACCCCCGAACGCCCCGTCTGGTGCTACTTCACGGCAAGTCCCTCGTTTAGCGTTTAAAATGCGGCAGCCGCATTTCGCGAAGTACGCGGCGGCTCTAAAGCTTGGGCGACGATGAGATGGGCGGGCACGCCGCCGCGATCCACGTATCACTCCGCACTCCGGAGCACGCGAGGCTCGTGAAAGTAGTCCGTCGACGGGACCCGCTCAGCGGACCCGCGCTCTTGACACCGCACAGTCCGCGTGACGGTGAAAGCACCGCCCCACGCGTTGAGCGGGGGGGGGCGGGGGGGTGGGTTTGTGTGTGGCGTTCAAAGGGTTGATAGCCCCGCATCGCATTGCTCGCTCACCCCTTCACTCGCTCACTCCTGCACTGACTCGCTCACTCAGTCACTCCTGCACTCACTCCTACACTGACTCGCTCACGTTCTCACTCCTTTACTCACTCATACACTCGCTCCTGCACTCACTCCAGCACTCGCTCGCTCACTCCTCCGCTCACTCGCTCACTCGCTCACTCCTGCACTCACTCACTCCTGCACTCACTCCTACACTGACTCGCTCACTTTCTCACTCCTTTACTCACTCATGCACTCGATCCTGCACTCACTCCAGCACTCGCTCGCTAACTCATCCACTGACTCGCTCACTCGCTCACTCCTGCACTCACTCACTCCTGCACTCGTTCACTCCTCTACTGACTCGCTCACTCCTGCACTCACTCCAGCACTCGCTCGCTCACTCCTCCGCTCACTCGCTCACTCCTGCACTCACTCACTCCTACACTGACTCGCTCACTTTCTCACTCCTTTACTCACTCATGCACTCGATCCTGCACTCACTCCAGCACTCGCTCGCTCACTCCTGCACTAGCTCACTCCTGCACTCACTCCAACACTCGCTCGCTCACTCCTCTGCTGACTCGCTCACTCCTGCACTAGCTCACTCCTGCACTCACTCCAGCACTCGCTCGCTCACTCCGCTCACTCGCTCAATCGCTCACTCCTGCACTCTCTCCAACAATCGCTCGCTCACTCCTCCGCTCACTCGCTCACTCGCTCACTCCTGCACTCACTCACTCCTGCACTCGTTCACTCCTCCGCTGACTCGCTCACTCGCTCACTCCTGCACTCATTCCTGCACTCACTCACTCCTCTACTGACTCGCTCACTCGCTCACTCCTGCACTCACTCACTCCTACACTGACTCGCTCACTTTCTCACTCCTTTACTCACTCATGCACTCGATCCTGCACTCACTCCAGCACTCACTCCAGCACTCGCTCGCTCACTCCACTGACTCGCTCACTCGCTCACTCCTGCACTCACTGCAACACTCGCTTGCTCCTCCGCTGACTCGCTCACTCCTGCACTCACTCCAACACTCGCTCGCTCACTCCGCTGACTCGCTCACTCGCTCACTCCTGCACTCACTCACTCCTGCATTAGCTCACTCCTCTACTGACTCGCTCACTCGCTCACTCCTGCACTCACTCCAGCACTCGCTCGCTCACTCCTCCACTGACTCGCTCACTCGCTCACTCCTGCACTAACTCCAGCACTCGCTCGCTCACTCCTCCACTGACTCGCTCACTCCTGCACTCACTCACTCCTGCACTCGTTCACTCCTCCACTGATTCGCTCACTCGCTCACTCCTGCACTAGCTCCAGCACTCGCTCGCTCACTCCTCCCGCTCACTCGCTCACTCCTGCACTCACTCACTCCTGCACTCACTCCTACACTGACTCGCTCACTTTCTCACTCCTTTACTCACTCATGCACTCGATCCTGCACTCACTCCAGCACTCGCTCGCTCACTCCTCCACTGACTCGCTCACTCGCTCACTCCTGCACTCACTCACTCCTGCACTTACTCCAGCACTCGCTCGCTCACTCCACTGACTCGCTCACTCGCTCACTCCACTGACTCGCTCACTCCTGCACTCGCTCACTCCAGCACTCACTCCAGCACTCGCTCGCTCACTCCGCTGACTCGCTCACTTTCTCACTCCAGCACTCACTCCAACACTCGCTCGCTCATTCCTCCACTGACTCGCTCACTCCTGCACTCGTTCACTCCTCCACTGACTCGCTCACACCTGCACTCACTCCAGCACTCGCTCGCTCACTCCTCCACTGACTCGCTCACTCCTGCACTAGCTCGCTCCTGCAATCGCTCGCTCCACCACGGGCGGGGATGTCTCCGAGACGCTGTCAAGGCTGCGAAGGTGGCTACCGGTGCCGAGTCACCGTCAAGTCGATGCTCGAGTCCGTAAACTCCTGGGCGGAAGTCTTGAGGATCTGGCCAAACCCCCCACATCCCACCACCCACCCACCCACCCCTGTGCAGGCCAGGTGACCTCACCCGCTTGACCCCTGGAGTTTGTTGGGCAGGGAAGTGCGACAGCCAGCCCCCAACAACGTCCCTTCAGCAACAGCAGCAGCAGCCGCTGCTGCCCCCCCCTCTCTTAACTGAGCAGCAACGTCTTCCCCCCCCCCCATCACCGCGACCAACGGGGCCTAAATATGAAGGGGGAGTGGCCTAAAGGGGATGGGGTGTGGCCTAAACAGGAAGGGGCGGGGCTTAAATAGGAAGGGGCGGGTCTTAAACAGGAAGGGGCGTGGTCTAAACAGGAAGGGGCGTGGCCTAAACATGAAGGGGCTGGGCCTAAAGAGGAAGGGGCTGGGCCTAAACAGGAAGGGGAGGGGCCTAAAGAGGAATGGGTGGAGACTAGCGATGGAGGGGCGTGGCCTAAACAGGAAGGGGCGGGGCCTAAACAGGAAGGGGCTGGGGGTCCTCCCTGCTGCGTCTGTGACACGTCAAACCTGCCTCTCTCAAACCTGCCTGTTGTCTGTTTGCAGTGTGGGGGACAGACCGAGTGGGGAGAGAGCGAGCAACAGAGACTCCTCCTTGAGCAAACAAAAAAACCAGCTCCCCCCTCCTACCAACGCCCCCCCCCCCTACCAGCCATCACACCCCCCTCGCCCCCCTTCTTCACTCAAGACCGTTAAACCCTGACCCCTTTTACACATCGGAAGAGGAGGAGGAGGAGACAACAGCGGGCAAAATCGTCGTGGGATTACCCAGAAGAGTTGCGGAGAGCCCAGTGGGCTCTCCCCACCTCCCTCCCCCACTGCCACCGCACCGTACCGCCCATCTGCGGAGGCCCCTGGTGGCGTTGGAGAGGTAGGGGAGGCGGTGGGGGGACATTGCCGGCGACCGTCCTCCGAAGAAGCGACCGTTTCCGGGATCGGCTTCATTGAAGATTTCCCTCCATCTTGGATTTAAACATTTTTTTCCGTCCGATTTTGAATTGGAACGAACACAAAGAAAACTCCCCCAAGCGCCACCCCCCCCCCCCCACACCCATCGACGCCTGGTGCCGTCGTTTGCGGGAAACTCCCTCCTTGGATTTTTTACCGGTTACCCCCCACCACCACCACCACCCCCACCACTACCTCACCTTTGCGGGAGATATCTCCATCGCTCGGAAACCCGGTCACCCCGGGAGCGGGAGGGGGGGAACTTGAGTCCGAGCCCCGACTGGACTCCCCCTCTGATCTTCCTCGACGGCATTCCCCTTTTGGCAGCGGCGGAGGAAGGCGGAAGGGAGGCCGGGCAGGACGACAGAGCGGTAACCGCATCCAATAAAACCAAACCTTGTCCGCCTCGGTTCCCAATCCTCTACGGACAGTCCTATAATACCGCCACCCGACCCTCTCGAACCTCAACGCAGCGAGCGGCTCAACTCCGGTCGGCGCAACTCCATCCCTCGCCGGTTTGCCTCCCCACCCCCCTCCGGTAGCGGCGGTGTTGGTGGGCCAATGCACCGCTACGGGGAGGAGCAGTTCCCCCGGGGCGGCGGTGGGGGGTCATCCCCCACTGCCGGCGGCCCGCTGGACTCTCGTTTCGCGTTGCTGCAGCAACAGCAGCAACAGCAGCAGCAGCAGCAGGCGACATTCCACTACGCGGCCCCGGCGCGGCCGTACAGGGATGCCGTGACGGCCGCCCCGTTGAAGCCGCTAGCCGCCCCCCCTCTCTGCGACGGCCGCCCCCGCGGCCGCGAACACGTCCAACGCCTCCGAGGTGCTCACGGCGTTCGGGCTCTCACCCGACGACCTCACGGAGCTGAGCCGCTACCCGTCCGAGCAGCTGACGCCCGAGAACCTGCCTCGCCTGCTCGGGGAGGTCTACGTGCGCAGGCGGCAGCAGCAGCAGCAGCAGCGCGCCACCGCCGCCGCCACCGCTACTACCGCTGGGCGCTCTGCGCCAGTCGCGCGGAACGAAGGGGGGGCGCCGTCGCTCCGGCCGCTTGCAACGTTCACGGCGGCCGAGGTGCTGCGGCGGACGCAGGCGGGCGATGTCCAGAAGGGGGGACAGTTGGCGTTGCACGTGGTGGATTACGGGCACGGGCGCGGCAGCGCCGCCGCCGCCGCCAGCCCGGGGATACGGGCGACGCCCCCGTTGCGTCATTTGCCACCCCAGCCGTCCGTGCGGCCGCCCCAATGCCCGCAGCCCCATCCGCCGTATTCCGGCGACGGCGGCAACGACGGCTACAGGGAGACGCGCGAGGCCGAGTGGCTTCGGGAGCAGCAGCAGCAGCAGCAGCAGCAGCCGGCGCAGCAGCAGCAGCAGCGGCGGCCGCAGTTGCAGCGGCGGGCGCTGCCGCCGCCGCCGTACCCTGTCCGCCTGGACGGCGGAGACGCGTTGTCGGGCTGGCGAGGGCCTGCGCGGGACGGCTACGTCGGGGCCTACGCGGAGAGGGCCGAGTTCAAGCGTCCGCCGTCGCCGCCGCCGCCGCAGCAATTCCAGCGGCAGCAGCAGCAGCGTTCGAGCAGCGGCAGCAGTGGCATGGCAAGCAAGAGCCAGCAGCAGCACCAGCAGCAGCAGCAGCAGGCGTCGAGCGTGGAGAAGAGGCCGGCCGCGGTCATCGCCTCTCAGTTTTCGCCGTTGATGCCCAAGAGGCCGGATCTGGGCGGCGGGGGCGTCGGCACCAGGAGCGGCCAAAGTGGCGGCAGAAGCAGCGAGAGCGGCGGCAGCAGCAGAAGCGTCGGAAGCGGCAGCGGCGGCAGAAGCGGCGAGAGCGGCGCTGCCAAGAGCGGCGGCAGAATCGGTGAGGGTAGCGGCAGAGGCGGCAGCAGCGGTAAAAGCGGCGAGGGAGGTGGCAGCAGCGGCAGAAGCGGCGGCGGCAGCAAAAGCGGCGAGGGTCGCGGCAGAAGCGGCGAGGGTAGCGGCAAAAGCGTCGAGCATAGCGGCAGAAGCGGCGAGGGTCGCGGCAAAAGCGGCGAGGGCAGCGGCAAAAGCGGCGAGGGCAGCGGCAAAAGCGGCGAGGGCAGCGGCAAAAGCGGCGAGGGTCGCGGCAAAAGCAGCGATCGTAGTGGCAAAAGCGGCGAGGGTCGCGGCAGAAGCGGCGAGCGTAGCGGCAAAAGCGGCGAGGGCAGCGGCAAAAGCGGCGAGGGCAGCGGCAAAAGCGGCGAGGGCAGCGGCAAAAGCGGCGAGGGCAGCGGCAAAAGCGGCGAGGGTCGCGGCAAAAGCGGCGAGGGTCGCGACAAAAGCGGCGATCGTGGCGGTAAAAGCGGCGAGGGCGGCGGCAAAAGCGGCGAGGGTCGCGACAAAAGCAGCGATCGTAGCGGCAAAAGCAGCGAGGGTCGCGGCAAAAGCAGCGAGCGTAGCGGCAAAAGCTGCGAGCGTGGCGGCAAAAGCGGCGAGCGTAGTGGCAAAAGCGGCAGGAGCGGCGAGGGTAGCGGGAGTAGCGGCAAAAGCGGCGGCGGCAAGAACGGCGAGAGCAGCCGAAGCGGCGAGGGCGGCAGCGGCAGCAGAGGCAAAAGCGGCGAGGGAGGCAGCAGCGGCAGAAGCGGCGGTCCTAGCGGCGGCGGCAAGAGCGCCCAGGGCAGTCGAAGCGGCGGCAGCGGCAAGGACGGCGATGGCGGCAGAACCGGCGGCGGCAACAAGAGCAGCAGCGAATCGATCAAGAGAGGAGGTGGCGGCGGCGGCGGCGGCGGCGGCGGCAGCGGCGCTAGAAGCAGCAGCAAGGGCGACACCGTGAGCGGCACGCCGACGCTGCTGCTGCCTGCCCACTTGGCGAGCCGCCTTGCGCAGGAGCCGCCCCACAGCTTCCTGCGGCGCGACAGTGCCCTCAAGAAGGAGCTGGAGAACTTCTACGGACGCTACATTTCCAAAGATCCCCTCCACTGCCACCTGTGCTTCATGCGCTGCAGCGGACTTAAGGTGAGCGGGACGGGTGGCGGGTGGCGGGGGAAGGGTGGGGGGGGGGGCTAGGGGTGGTGGCGGTGGCGGTAGTAGTACAAGGGTCCGTACCGGACCCAAGGTGGAACGCGACGGACGTACGGACGCGCCGCGTGCCTCACCGCACTGCACACGGCGCGTAGGGGCACGGTCACTGGACCGATGGCAAAGACAAAGATGACCCCCCACCGACCTGCCCCCCCCCACCGAACCCCCCCCCAAGGCCGGCAAAGGCGCGAGGGGAGAGGAAAGGGTTGGGGGCGGTGTGGCTGGCAATCGCCGGGCTCTGAGGCCAAGTCAACCCTAGGAAGGGAGGAGGTCAAGGCGGTTTTGTCGCGGGGACGCCGGGAGGGGTACGGTGGTGGTGGTGGTGGTGGGGGGGGGGGAGTCCGGGCCGGTGCCGGTAGATTAACGGCAGCACCGGGGAAGAGCCGGTCACGGTCACCGTGGCAACTGACACCACCCGTCCACCGCTCCCTCGTGGTGCGACCTCTAATCGACTCCCGCGACGACCTGATTTCTTTGCCCTGTTGCTCGCCACTGATGTGAACCGTGCGATGGGCTCACTGGGTGGTGAGTGTGACTCTCCCACCCTCTCTTCTCTCCCTCTCCTCCCTCCCTCTCCTCCCTCCCCTCCCTCCCTCTCCTCCCTCCCTCTCATCTCCTCCCTCACAGGCGTGGGAGAGCCACGTGAATGGACGCAGGCATAAGCTGCGCTGTGAGCTCTTTAAGGAGCGGTGAGCTCACTCGCCCAACCACTCACCCAACCACTAACCCAACCACTCACCACCCAACCACTCGCCAACTCACCCACCCGTTCACCCATCCACCAAACCACTCACCACCCACTCACCCACTCAACCACTCACCACCCACTCACCAACTCACTCAACCATTCACCCACCCAACCACTCACCACCTACTCACCAACTCACCCACTCACTCACCACTCACTCACCCAACCACTCACATACTCACCCATTCACCCACCCACTCACTCGTGCAACCCACCCACCCACTCACCCATCCATTCACACAACCACCCACTCACCCAACTACTCACCCACCCACTCACCCACTTATCCACTCACGCAACTACTCACCCACCCACTCACCCACTCATCCACTCACCCAACTACTCACCCACTCATCCACTCACCCAACTACTCACCCACTCACTCACCCACCCAGTCACTCACCCGTTTCTTTATCAAGACGTTGAAGCTGTTTGTTTTCTTGTTGCAGATTTTTCAAGAATGGAGAATATAAAGGGTAAGTGCTAGAGATGGGGGTCACAG